TATTCATATAAAACTCAGTCAAAACGTGTCTTCTGAGGATGAGAATGAATTATTTATTGTCAACGTCGAGAGACATTTTACAGGAAACTACTTTCGCGGAAAAGTTACCCAACTGAGATGCGAGAAAAACAACTACAGCTGAGCTAAAGCTTAAAGTAGAGCAAAGTAAGTCTGCATTTTTCGTGTATATTATATGTTTAGCCTGTACTAGAACATCAGCACATACTGAGACATTTACAGCCATGATAGTAAAATGGACATAAAATGCTGTGGCTATCAAGGTGGTTTCATTTTTGTTGAAAGGACAAAATGGTTCTTCTTAACGTTTCGGTTGCGACCCCTGAGCTAAGCCTACTAGTAAGGGGTGATCAGCACGTGACCGTTTGCTCCAACTGTCCACGGCTCAGTCAGGATTGCACAATCACCAATAGCCCAGTTAACCACCGCGTTCTGTGGTTCTGATTTTGCATGGATTGTCTGAAGCCTGTGGCGAAATTGAAACGAAAATTATCGCTATAGCTACACAAACATTTGTAGGCGCTGCAGCAATTAATGTTTCATAGAACTGTAGAGGCTACAGCTACTAGCTACAAAAACCTGTAATTAGCTATGAAAAGTAGCGCGCTACTTAGCTACTCAACCATCCATGACGCCCACTCACAGGCCACTTTATTAGAAACAGCTACCACGTACGTCCACTCACAGGCCACTTTATTAGAAACAGCTACCACGTACGTCCACTCACAGGCCACTTTATTAGAAACAGCTACCACGTACGTCCACTCACTGGCCACTTTATTAGAAACGCCTACCTTGTGCTTCTGCTCACTGGCCACTTTATTAGAAACACCTACCTTGTGCTTCTACTCACTGGCCACTTTAATTGAAACACTCGGCTTATGCTTCCACTCACTGGCCACTTTATTAGAAACACTCACCTTATGCTTCCACTCACTGGCCACTTTATTAGAAACACCTACCTTATAGCTTAACAATATAGGTGTACAATTACACACTGAGCTGCACTGTCACCAGTCCTATTTCCTCCTTTCTGTGGCTCTGCCACAGCTGCTCCAGCTAATGAACTTTTTCTGAAATCCTCTATTGCCTGGATCAGAAGCATTAGTGTTAGATAAAGGGGAACTAAACTCTGCAGGAAAGAGGTGGTGGCTCATTGGGACCAGGGACAAACCGTCTGGGACTGTCCTGTGAAATGCAGAACGGGTGGTCACTCTCTCCAACAGACGGGCAATGCTATCATCGTAAAAGAGAAAAGTCAGTAATCCATTCTACTTCCAGCTTCTTGTGTCCGTTGCCGCTCTACCTTTCCATCTGTTCCTCTCCTTAGATGCCGTTATCTCCTTTCTATCTTTCCTTTCCTCTTCTTTGTTCCAAACTCCTCCCTCCATCCATGCAGGCTGCAATCTACAGCTGTCAGTGAATAATTAAGGGATGAAGAGAAGGATGGGGGAGACACAGTGTCACCTTACCTTCCATCAGTCAGTGAGAACACACACACACACACACACACACACACACACACACACACACACATCTAGTATGACAGCAGACAGCATTAGACCATCAGATCACCTGATACCTGATGGTCTGCAGGTGAATTCCATTCTTCTATAGACCCCCCCCCACCGACTGCCACCTGCAAAGCTGCCGAGAGCTCACTTACCTACAATTACTTTAAGCTAATCCCCCAATTCCCCTCACACATGTTTATTTCCACTGAGTACTCTTAAAACAATGGCTTGGCCAAGATGTGTTTGGAGTCTGAAGTGCTTCTTTAGTTTATACTCTGGAGCTTTAAACCTAATGTAACAGTTCAGTGCCTAAATCATCAATCTCGCCTCAAACCGTGTTGAGATGTTGAGAGACCCCAAACAGACTTGCCTACTTGGTTTCTGACACTGTAGGACATACGGTTGTGTGCAAAAGTTTAGGCACCCCAGTCAAATGACTTTGTCTTGATTTTTGATGTGAAAATAAGTTAAACACAGCCTCCCTGTCCACACACTTCGATGCACAATTACTGTTTATTTGCGGCCTGTGCAGAATTTACGGCACACTTCACTGTTTCACATTTGAACATGTTAAACTGTTACATGACGTGTGCAGTAAACATTGCAGGAAAATGCCATATTTAAGTTCTGTGTAGTGAATGTGCATCTAAAAAAAAAGACAATCAACAAACCAGGAGTGTTCAAACATATGACTGCACATGACTGTATATCCTACTGCTTTAACTGTTTCCTTGCAAAGTGTTGTGTATGGTTTGGCCTGTAATTCTGAACCTCAGCAAAATCACCAAAAAATGCCACATTTCAGTTTGTTCCCTGTAGATAATGTGTTAACAAATAAGTTAATGTCATTTGACCAGGGGTGTTCAACTATCACAGGTGACTGTACTGTTATCTATAAAAATGGACATAAGTACTGGCATAATTTAGGCTATTGCTGTTTTTAACACAGTGTCACAAACCACACAACCACAAAAACAAGTCTCCATGTGTTGGCTGATGAACTACTTTTAAAGTTAGGGAGAACATTGTGTTGGACAAATCACCGCTTTAAGAGTACTCAGAGGGAGTAAGTACATTCAAGTGGAATTTAAGTGCAGGGGTGTGCAGTGCAGCTTCGGGCTGAATCCAGGCTGTATCATGTGAGAACCCAGGGGTAAGGTTATTGGTCATTTCCATTAGCCACTGAATCTCTTATTCTCTGATCTCTTATTCACAGACTGATCTGGCAATGAAATGGTAAGTCGGGTACATAATGATTCACACTAAATTGACGTATCTCTTGGTTCATACTGTTAGCAATGACTAAGTCCTCCATATTTTTATGTCTTTTTTACTGCTGCACCTGTTACGCAGTAAAAATCATGCTTGATTGAGAAGTGACCAACAGTCACTTTCAACAACTGGACATGGACGAAAGCCATCAGTGCGATCCATCCCTATGTGCAACATTCTCATGTAAGGTTCTACAAATCTGCAAAATTTGGGGTTCTAGCTCAAAAACGGCGACCCATGAAAACGGTACCAAAAAACAGAATAATAAAACGAAGAAGAGTAAATTGTCTTTGTCGAGCCAACTTAATTAAGCACATGCAAGTGAGGAACTTGTTTCTACCCTCCTCTGGCCACTGAGCTCATTAGATACACTGACCAAGCAGAGTTAGAGTGAGCTTTACTGTGCAACGTATGATCATCATGTGAACTTTAAAATGGAAACTTGCATCATGCTTTTAAATACAACTTTTGTTAATACAGCTTGAACTCTGGCGTCCTCAACTTGAGTTAACTCAAAAAGCTGTGGGGTAAGTTAACTTAAAAATGATTTACACTAACATCCAAATGTTTGGAATCACTTCAATAAGATCTCATACAGTGTGGACTGAAACACTGTCAGCTAAATACCAGAAGGTATTTAGACGTTTTATCTAGATTTTTTACTTTCACATGTTGTCTCAATTTTATGCTGTTAAACGATCACCAAATATACTGTAATTATTACATATTCTCGATGTTATACAGCTTTCTCAGTCATTAAGGAATCATCTACCGCTCTGTTCATTATTCTTGATACTTTTGAAATGTCTTATTTTTCACAGCTTCCTACTATGTGAAAACGTAAAGTAGAGCAGTTGCATAATGGAATCATTTCATAAAGTCATCTGAAACTATTTTTTTTTTTTACTGAAAATAGTGATCCCAAATTTTTTGTACAGTACTATGTCAGAGACCACCCTTCATTTATTTCAATTCCAATCAAAACTGTTATTTGGTTATTCATTTTTCAGCCCCATGGAAAAAAAATCAAGACGCTGATTTAAAAGAAAATCAGAACAATTAAATATATTACAATATATCTGTATTTTTTGTAGCCTTTACTACAGCCGACACTCTTGTCAGGAGACCTCCAAAGTTCAGTCTAAGAAGTTGGTTGTATTTTCTGCTGTTGGTTGTATCTCTCTGCAAGTAATGAAACACACACAGGATGCTGGAGTCTGGACTCTGGGGTGCTCAGTGTATTGTTCTGAGAACAAGAGTGACTTCATTGTTTGGTTTCTTCTTTTTGTCCATTTCCTTTTCTCAGTAATGTCTTCTTGACAGCTACACATTTTTTCAGACTCATGGTGTTGTCTTCTCACAGTGGAAGGGTGGACAGACACGCCTGTGGATGTTTTCAGATCTGAATCAAGAGTGGAGCTTGATTTTCTCCTCTCTTTCAAAGATGAAAGTGCTGTATCTGATGGGGACAGTTTTGGTGGTCTACCAGGTCTTGCAGGTGGTTGTCAGGAGTCTCATTTTCTCTTTTATCTTTTAATCATTTTTTGAACTTTAAATAATTTTTTTTTTCACTTATTTTTCCTTGACTTTCCCCTTCCTTATGTGAGTGGATTATTTTATACCTAATCCTCTCGGAAATTAGTAACTTGTACAAAGGGTGGACTCTGTCTGCAGTACTGCATATATCAACTTTCAAAATGTACCCCTCTTAAAAACTTCCAAGAGATTAATTTCCTAGTTAGCTTAACCAAAAAAAAATAAAAATACAAATGAAAATAAATATCACAAAAGAGTTCCCTCTAGAATAACCTGATCATTCACAGAATGGTATTTTTTTTCTCTGATAAAAATTTTGAAATATCTTCTCAAAATTTAAAAACATTATTTAAAATAATTTGAAATTTTGCTTAAAATTTGGAAATATTTGCTCAAAATGTGGAAATATTTGCTCAAAATTTCAAAAGATCATTTAAAAATATTTAAAATTTTGCTCAAAGATTTAAAATATTTGCTCAAAACTTCTAAACATTATTTTAAAAATTTAAATATTGCTCAAAATTTTGAAATATTTCCTAAAAATGTTAAAACATCATTATTATTATTATTATTATTTTTTACCATAGGTGATCATTTTTGGACCTAACATTGAAGGCAAGTCAAAAAAAGTCCTTTAATTTAACAGACATTAAGCAAACAAAATATTTAATGTTTATTTTGCATTAGTATTTTTGTTTACATACTATATTTACATTACGACATTAACACACGATAGACATGTTCAAATGTTTAAATCATTATGAAATAAAAAAAATAATAATAAACACGTGTAAGCAGCCATTAGCTAACTTGATGGAATCGGAGAGAGGGACACAGGTGGAGAGAGACGGGTGGAGAAATAAAAAGAACGACAGAGACACAGAGAAGTGAAGGTGAAGTGAATGGTAGCACTTTAAAATATCAGTATTAAGACAAGGCTGGACACAGCAGGCTCCGGCTAAACCACTCTCTCTCGCTCTCTCTCTCTCTCTCTTTCTCTCTCTCTCTCTCTCTCTCTCTGTTGCACACACACACACACACACACACACAAGCACACTCACACACACACACACACATTTCATAGAGTTGCTCCTGTAGCTCGTGTTTACCAAGCAACTACAGTTCCTTCTTCTGCTATTAACCATCTATTAATACTGTAATTATTAACAAAAAGATAGACGTCCTTTAAATAAAAGTGTGAGTACGTCTAGCCGTCTCTCCAGTCATAGCTTGGGTGCGTTTCCAGCCGTTTCGCAGCCATTTTTACATGTACAGTATTCAAGTATGGACATAGACATAGTCATGAACAGTGCTCGGCTGGGAACAGGCCTATTGCTCATGGAGAAAACAGCACTTGAACCTTTACGCTTCTATGAACATTTGTAAAAGTTTTGTTTGGTTTCTTGGGTTCTGTGTTATCTGCCTCAATTCATTTGCTAACAGGATTGAAGTGTCAGTCAGTAATCGGCTATTTTATTCAGAAAGTACAAGAGGATTTAGTGCAATTGACACATGCACGCTGGAAGTTGTGGACACGCCGTCGTTCTAACAAAGCAGTGCGGTAACATTTTCAGCTCAAAGTTTAGCTTGAGAACTGATCCAGCGGTTTTGGGACCTATGCTAACTTTTTTTTCAACAGACATTTAGATCTTGATGATGATGTGAATGTCTTTCCTCAAAATCTGTTGAACAAACTAGCATTGGCATGTCAGGCCTTTACAACTAAATATTCGAGAAATGTTACCAGAACTGTTTGAGCAGTGGTTCTCAATGAGCTAACCTACACTCTTAAAAATAAAGGTGCCAAAAAGGGTGCTTTGGAGAGAAGAACCACTTTCGGTTCCCTCAAGAACTTTACAACAGAGGTCCTCAGGGCTCTAATGGTTTCTGGGAACTAAACATTTTAGTTCATGCTCTGCAAGTACTGTGGTAACACTCTCATTTTGTTAAGTTTCCGTAAGAAATAAAAGGTTTAACTCATAAAACTCCCAATGAAAGAACTGTCCAGTCTAAATTTTCCCTGTGGGATCTAGGTAGATTCAACCAAGCTAGCTCTCCTACTGGTTAGGACTTCAGGAGATCCTTACAGGTCAGGATAACAACAAACATGATTAGAAAGTGACAATGGCGTCATGTTTTTGATTTACATTTAGTGAGACCGAGTTCATGAGAAAATACGTCCCACTAGACCAGGGCTGCCCAAAGTTGGCTGCCAGTGAGTTCCCTCGCCCAACAAACATACATCTGACTAAATTCTTACATTTTTCCCTTTTGAAACTATTTTTGAAGTATTTTTATAAGAAAATCTAATGCAATGTTATAAAATACATTGTTACGATTCGAAACCCAGCTACCTTCTTCTATCGTCTCTCTTTCTACCTTCTAGGCCTAGCTGGAAGTTCTAGATAGCTCACTGACTGTGAACACAGATTTCCAACAACTTCACTGGAGCTACTCAATTGAAATGTTCTTTAGGAAACCAAACATGCTTTTTGTCTGACATTTGTGCTCTTTTTGGCACCTTTTTGGTCAAAAACAGCTGATTCAGAAAGACGAGCGATGCACCATGGAGTAACATTAACTACAGTACCAAACCAGTGCCTTACAGTGGTTTACAGTATAAGGCCTCCTAATATGGAGCCCCACTGATCTGTGGGAGTGTGCAGGAAATATATCAGCACTTTTCACCTGGTTTATTCTACAAAAACCACAATCAAACCTGTTTCATACAGGATATTTCGCACGCGCGTACACAAAGAATTTTTAACTTGTTACGTCTTGTTTTTATGCAGTTCGACCATGCATAGGCAAATATGCCTATAGGCAGAACTGAAGGGGGTGCGAGTGAAAGAAAAACAAAAGTAGCCTAAGATTGGAAAAGCATATGAGCTTATGACTACAAGCACCTATAAGAGGAATCATTGTTCACAAAATTAACGGGATCGTTTTGATCATTTTTAAGGACTTTTGCCTGTAATTTGCAAAAAGCATCTACACCTTTCACAACGTTACTTTCTCGACTAAAGAGTTAAAAATTAAATTCATTTAAATTAGCTAATTAAAAAAGAAAATCTAAATGAAAAGAAAAAAAACATGGCAAGTGGGCTTTGCTCTATGATCTCTCCTCTCTTTTACTAGTATGTCTACGATACAAATGACTAGTTAATCTAACAAGCTTAAAGCATTGGGCTAAGGGGTTAATTACATTTGGGGAAAAGAGCGCGCTTGATGTAGGAATTTCCCAGAAAATTAGTTTCAGTTATGAAAAAAATAAATAGATTTAAAAGTCGCTGTAATATATACAGATATCTGATGCTCAGCTGCATCATGACAGCTTCTAGTTAAGAGCATTAATTTGTGAAATTAAAACTGTTCTTCAAGGATAGAATCGACATTCCAAATCACACATCAACTTCCACTCCATTCCAAACTCGTCAGTGGGAAATGAAACTTCTATACAGAAGGAGCGCGATCCAACCGACGTATCCTGTCACAATTTTCTGCCCGATTTGGCTTTCAACTCGCTTCTTCGTGTAGTTGGTGTTGGTTTGTTGGTCTGTCTGTGAGTCTGTTGACCTATGTGTTTATTCCCTGTTTAGGCGCATGGCATGTAGTTAGTTTCCCCTCTTTAGTGTAGCTTTAGCAGCGACTATTTCCTAGGTTTTATTTGAGCTTCTTCTCCATGCTCTTTACATGGCCGTTCCGTTTGTGCTTCCCATTGGGAATCCCGTTGTGACAGTGTCCGTTAGCCTTTTCTGCTGAGACCGCACCCTGCCTCAGCCTGGACTGGAGGAACCTGCCTATCCGGTACACACAGTAGCAAATGAGCAACAGGCCCACACCCATCACCGTGGCAACGTCCAATAAGAAGTACTGGTAGGTGGGGACGCTGTAGACGGCAGAGCGCAGGTGCTCTGCGCCGTGGTGACGCAGTATGTAGCTGATCCAGTAAACAGCACGGGTCACTGGATGGCCGGGCTGATCCTTGTGGATTTCAGACAATTTCTGCGCTCTCTCCCGATACCTGGAGAGAGGAAAAAAGAAGAGGGGGAAGAAGGGTGGAGAGAATGGTGGGTGATCAGAAAGAGCGAAAGGAGGAGGGAGGACATACATGAGTTCTCATGTCTCATGGGAGCTGTTTATCTGCATAAGCACTTTATGACCACAAGGTGGCCTCATAGAATCAAATCTGTGCTCTTCTATCTGGGTACAGTATTTACATCATACCTCTCCAGCCCTGGAATTCCATTCATGGTAGTGTCATTTACTCACTATGTGATCTGAACATGCTTAACAGGTTTTGAATTGACAGGGATTTCCTATACAATGTAAAAACAAATGTACATGTCCAGGTACGCAGGTATCAGCCACTTCAATTTATTCTTACTGCCACTTTCAGACAATTTTAACACTGATTTGTGCCACTTCTTGAACTGCCTTCTCTGTTTACAGCTGAGTATTAAGTATTTAGCTTTCTAGCAATAACATTGCATTAATTTATGTTCCCATTTTCATCAATCTAAATTATTCCACAAAAGAAACTGGTATTATACTGATATGTTGCTCTCAAATTCAAACATATACTTTGTTTAAATTATGAATATGAAAATGTTTATGTTAAGAGTTACTGACTTTTCAGTGCCATTTAAGTCCTTGATTTAACACTTTTCATACCTTTTAACGGATACTCTGTATATCACAGCCCAAAATGTCCAAATGGCACCTTTCCAGCAGAAGACAAAGCACTCCTTATTTTTTAATGTAAAGACATTTTAGTCCAAGCACTTTGGAGCATTTTTATTGGTCCATTCATCAAGTGGAGAAAGTGAACTGCATAGAGCAGGGATGCAACTTTTGGCAAATTCTTTTGAACGATGAACAAACGTCATTAGTTGGCAGGTAACCAATAACCGAGTTAAAGTCAAGGATGCGACCATCAAAATATCAATAGTAAAACAGATGGTTTTGGCTCTAAAATCTGATGATTGAGCCTCATTCACAGCCAACATTTAATACTTATATAGACACTTATATAGGCATTCTGTACTAATGCACTGAGATATCAAAAAGTGTTCCTTGTATGGACGGTGGAACGCAGTACTGATGGGTAAAACGAGGCTTAAGCGTTTATACGAGTGTGTAAACAGTCATAATTACATGTACCAACCCGGTTAAACCAACATACTAACAACTATAAAATGTTCATGATTATATGACCAAACACTAAAAAGCTTATAAAATGACAGTAATATTTAATGATGGGCAACTGAAAGTTCTATATTTTAAAGTTCTGAGATTTACCAAACATTCATAGCCAAAGTAAAAGGAACACAGTATGCCATCACCATCCATCACATGCTCTCTATAATTTTACACACCCATGTGTGATTTCCTCACACCGCCGGGCACCACAACTTCTCTCTAAGAACAAAAAGCACTTTTTTTAGTAGGTCTATGTAGCGGAACTAATTTACTAATGTGCACATATGCGTACAATTCAAAAATGCCCTTCTACTTGAATGATAAACTCACCTGTTCAAATAGGAACTGTTGGTTTATATTAGTCCAACAATGGTTTATGTACTTGCTAATTGGTCCCATATCCTACATTTTTCTTGCATTTTATATTTTACCCTGAAATCCACTTTTAACATTTGTGTTATGTATTAAAAACACTCATACTTCATTTTCACATTACTATTTTCCAATCTCCCTTTCTCTCTTAGAATTAAACAGGTTGTTTTTTGTAACTGTGGCTTTAAGACAGATGTATGTAAATGACCAGTATGGTTCTTCATTTAAAAGCAGTACCGGCTGAAAAACACAACATGAAATGGGGGGTAAACTGCTGTAGGCTGAGTAGGCAGCTGCTTTGGCGTTTGCGACATCACAAAAACAATGGACCTCATTCACCAAGTTTTTTCTTTAACTTTTTCTTGGGCAACATCCTAAGAAAAAGTCTACGTCAGATTCATGGCGTGTTCTTAAACTGCAGAACTGTCCACACCTTTGTGCTCTTGAGTGTCTGTAGATTTTGTTCTTACCTAAGAACAAATTTCAAATAAGAAAACACTGGTGAATGTCAGAATCTTTGTGAAAACTGCGTAAGAGGGTTTTAAGAAGAAATTTCTTCTTAAGAACAGTTGGTAAACGAGGCCCACTGAGGGCAAGGCAGGCTTAGTTTCCAATTCTAGATCACACTGATCACACGGGGAGTACATGAAAAGCTTTGAAACATTAACGGTGCTTACATACTACATTCTTCTTATTTACAGATATACAAAAATGTAAGGTAAATTTATTTTCCTATGATACTGGCTCTTTAATCATTTACATCCCTAGTATTGTGTCGTTTCACCATTACCGTTTGTCATTCCTGTCCCTGAAACATAATATGAAGTCTGCTTGCTGAAAGGAACACGCACGCAATACAAACTTGCAAACTATTTCCAGTCTCCTTTTTAGAACTATTCATTCTGAGCTCCCCTTTATATCAGTAAATGGCATGCTTGAGCAAATATTCACTTAGTGATGACATTACCTGGCTGCCTTTCAGCGTGAACCTTGTCTCTCTTTAAATTTGAGTTACCCCAATTCCACTGACATTAAAAATTAACCTGGCTCTGTGAGCGCGGGTGTGTTCGTGTGTGCTTGCGAGTGTGTTACCTGCTGTCAGTGATAACATTGACCATGGCAGTATAGAGGTCCTCTTCGCTCATTCTTTTCCACTCCAGCATAATGCCCATTCCTTTGGCTTGCACGCGTGTCATGGTGTCATAATGGTCCCCGAACAGTGGCACACCCACCACGGGCACTCCGTGGTACATGGCCTCGTAGATACTGTTCAGGCCACCGTGGCTCAGGAACGCACGCGTGTTTCTGTGTCCTGGGAGAGACAGAGAGAGAATTGTCAGAGAGAGACAATGTGTTTTTACTTAAATCAGGAGGTCTTAAACCTGGGGGTCACAACACCCTTGGGAGTCCCAACGTTTTTCACAAGAGTGGTGTTGTAAAGATATATACCTAATAAAACAGAGACAAGAATTTTGATGAGTGGCTGTTGAATGGGAACAGTGCAAGAACATGAAAAATGAATTAGTTTATGGTAGCTTTAAATTACACTTAGTGCCGAGGTGAACGAGGTGAACCTCTGAAGTATCACCCAAAAAAAACAAAAGAGAGAGCTGTGGAGTCTTCTTTTTGAAAAATACTAAATGGAGCAATGTTCCTCAGTCGATATATAATCCTATTGCTCACGGTTGTAAAAAACAAAATAGTTAACCAACTAACATTAATGAGTTACTGAACTATACATTCCCTCCAAAACCACCTCATATCAGTACCGCCCAAACTTGCCTGACTTCAGCTCCACACCAACAAAGAAAACAGCAAGATGGCAGTCCGTGACTGCAGCTTTACGTCGATAAAGAATTTCTATGAAGTTGGCTCGTTACTGAGGGTGGGTCTTGACCGAGCGAAAAGACTGAGTACTAAACTTGAAGCATTTTTTCAGTGCAGGGGTAAAGACTTGTGGTTTGTGTCGTAGAGCTAGCTACGTGCTAGGCGGGTGGGGGGGTTGCACACATCCCTACCGGCCAGAGGTTAAACAACTTTACAGTGTTAAAAATACAATTCTATTATACTTTTTTTCAAAAGTATAATAGAAAAAGAATAATATTGCAGTATATAAGGTGGCTTCTACTGTACTAAATGAGCTATGTTTTGTATTTTTAGAGTGGTAGTTATTTGCTGTATTAGTAGTACAGAGCAAAAAAGTCTTTAAAGACTTTTATCACAAGGATTATTGTGTGCAAAGTTATTAGTATTATTACTATTTTCTTTTTTTGCTGTTATTGCTGCTTTTATTGATGTTACTGACAATTATAATTATTTCATTGTAAATCAGGCATTTTTCAGGCTGTTGAAATATTTACGCTCAAATTTACACACACTTCTACCAGACATGAGTTTGATCGGACATACTACAAAAACAAAACTGAAAACTAAAACCGTCGGGAAAAAATTGTGTGCACTCTTTTTACAATCAGATTCAACCGTACACAACTCTGATGAATAAATGCCAATATTTGGCAGTAGAATTTCAATAACGATATTCTGTCTGTAGTATACCACTATTCATCTTTATATACAGGATAATTAACATATAAAAAAATTATGGGTTAATATACAATTCTATAAAACCTCATTTTGTAAATATAGCCCAAATATATGTAGGGCCTGACTGTTACGAAGATTTTAAGGACAATTCTGTTAACCATCAACACTGGATCCTATAATTTTGTCAAACATTAAAAGAATTCAGTAGTACACGCCAAGAAGTGCTTCACTGACTGATTGCCATCAAATGTGAACTGTCAAATATACTTTTTTCAGTGGTTAAATTTAAATAGACAACAGAAACTCACAGAAGTTCATACTATATACAATTCAGATCAAGTCTGATGTAATGTGATTAGATGCTTTGACTGTTTGCCTGTCGACTTTGCAGCACTTTCCGAGCTGCTCACATTCACAGTCAAAGTTGCGCAGCTGACTTTCTCGGGTAGAACATGCATGCAAATCACATACGAGGACAGAAACAGATAATCTACATAGAGGAAATTTTTTACTTAATGCATCACGCAGGACTCACTTTGTTGTGTTGTATGACAAAGTTTAGGCATCCCTGGTCAAATGTTTTCTTGTTTTACTAAGTGAAAATAATTCTTAACAAATCCTCTAAAGAGAGCAAACCTCTGCACATTTTAATGTGCATTTACTGCTTATTTGCTGAATATTAGGGGAGAAAGTCAACATAAAATATGACCTGTGCAAAAGTTCTGGTACATTTTATATTTTATGCTTTATTTACTCCAATAATGTCAGCAAATAAATAGAAATTTGCACTAAAATTGGCAGGAAAATGCCATATTCTAATGCTCTCTCTGTAGAGCATGCGTTCACTTATTTTCACTTAGAAAATCAACAAAGCATGCCACTTGCCCAGGGGTGATCAAACCTTTGCATAAGACTGTATGACTAAAGCAAATACTTACATTCAAATTAAATTAAAAGTCAGTAACTGCAATGTCAGTGTCTATCTTTTCATAGCACAAATGAAGGCTCTTCTAAGTTCGGAAGCTTCACTGAGAGGATTTCCCCAGATACTGATAATTATGTTTAACCTTGATAGCAGGTTCTAATGTACATAACCTAAATACACATACATGCAATATAGTTCATTCAAATTATAGGAAGGGTGTATCCTGTGGTCTTTTCTTCTGTCTGTGTACTAAGCATTTGAACTGTCATATATTTGTTCATCTCCAAGCTGTCATTTGTCTTGTGTGAGAAAACATTACGGGCTCCACTGCCATTCGGTCAGCATGTAAAAGCATCCTGTGAGGACATATGGGTTTGTTTCTTTTGTCCTAGCTTATGGTTAACCACTAATGATACAATCAGTAATGTAGTGGTGTCTCTCTATGAGCAAGCTGCACCTTCTTTTAGTTTATACACTTCACAACCTCAAAGGAACACTCCACACTTTTCTCAGATGACAAGCTGCTCCAGCATCTGCCCATTGGCTTCTATTATATGTGAGGTTTGAATCCATAGGTTTTCTATTCTTTTCTCTGTATAGCAATACGTCTTTGCAGTTGTAGGTTGGAATGTTCCTGGAGTATTCCTTTAAAGAAAATACAGGACAGACCCACATTCCTGTCTGAATGTCTGGGCTGCATATTTGAACTTGGAGGAATGACCTAAAGGTCTGACAACCTAATTCTGAGTGAGTCTGCTTAATTAAATGGTTGAGATGTAAACAAAGTCATTCAGAGCGGTTTGATATACTCCATTCTAGAGAAACTAATTGTCAGAATTGTTCAGAGTGTTGGTTGAAATAGTTGTGAACGAATCAATAAGCTGTCTGAGATACTGTTTTATGGTAGTTTTGAGAAAGTTTTTTGGACTAAAAAGAAATGTACCAGGCCCAAAAAGAAAATAAAGCTGCTCGTTTAGAGAAGATACATTCTGAGCGAGTGTGTTAGCTCATTCAGCATCAATAAGACCTTATTATTGATTTGTTAACTTTGAGTAACGATAAAACAAGTAAGATTGATGTGTGACTTATACTCCTATTTATGTGCTTTCTTGTTCAAAAATTTCGTTTGTGACACAAACTACATAAAATCACAGAATTTTCAGCTGTACTTAATCAGCTCTTTACCTACTAAATACATCAACTTCAATCAGCGTATAGAACTGGACCTTTCTGTATCCTATCATGCCTTGCTCATGTTTCCATCACTGTATAAAAGACACACAACGCTTCCTTTTTTGTTGGATATACTGTGTATTCAGAACATAGCGCAGAACAGCGCTTATTACTGATTTGTTCAACCAGAGTATGGAAAAAGTGCCACTGATGTGTAACTTAGATTCATATGCATATGTTTTTTTGTCCAAAAATGTAGTATGTGACACAAACTACATAAAAATCTCTGAAGTTTCGGCTTTGTTACATCGTGTTCTTAACCAATTAAATACACACAACAACAGCATTTAGAAAGCACATTAATAACAGAGTAGATGAAAAAGAGCAGATAAACTGACAAACAAAACTTTTTGCAACTGCCTTAAAGGGTTAAAACCCATTCGCAGTGGAAAGGTACATGCAGGGTAGCTCCCAAAGAAAATTTCTCTCAGATAAACCACAATTTTACTATAAATATCATAATCAATGTGTAGTCTCACTGGTTGTTTTATATAATGCATAAAATGGCTAGATTAACCACTCTAGGCATCATAACCCCTGGTTCCTATCACTACTCTGCAAAGAAATCTTAGTCTGTAAGTTTCTTAACAAGGCACCACTTCACATCAAACCACTCCGAAGAACTTATGCTTTGATTTACATGTCAACCAATGAACTGTGCAGAAATTCTGAAAAATCTGAGGAATTCTCCCCTGACAGTATAACTGCTCCACTGCTGGAGGCCTGTGAATGTGTGTGGGACAGCAGTGACTAACAGAGATATATGTGATATAGGCTGCTAGAAACAGGATACGCCCCAGACACTATTTAGCCTTGAGCAAATTTGCCTTGCTCTCTATAGGGCCGCACAATGCAGTATTGTCCTTTGTAATGCTGCTAACAGTGTTTTTACTGTGTGCTGTAATCATCCTTATCAATGACAGCTCTGGACAAGTGTTTTAATGAATAAAGCTATTCATACAATGCAACAAATGGAAATTACTTTGGTCAAAATAACGCAGGCCAATCTTCAATCATGTTTCACTGATGTGTTTTTAATATACTGCAAGGCATTTCATAATTGCAATATGTAGCAATACAATAACATTATGCAGTGCCACTCTCGGGCTCTCTCTCTCTTTTCTCTCATTCCCTTTTTCAGAAATATACCTAGAAATCAGCTAAGATTGTAATCTATAATTTATAATTTTGATTTTTGTGATGCAAATAACGTGAGGCAGGTAAGTGCACTGTATTTGAATGCAGCTGTTACACCTATATTAACAACGTTACAGCATAACTGTGCATGATTCACTGTGCTAAACTGCAAGTTCGCCCTTACTTTCAATGCAGAACTTTATTGGATTCATGTTTAAAAACATGAATCCAATAAAAACTGATTTTTGTTTCTGAATTTAAATTTAAGGGAAAACTATGTTGCTTACATTGCAACTTTGGATAATACAAATTACTGAAATGTGCTAGTGTCATTCATGTGCTCATTCTATCCACACAGTGTGAGCTCCAGATTAAAAAAAAAAGCTACTAAATATTATCATCAGACACTTTTGTCTGTGAAGAAATCAGTAGGGAAACCCTCAAGGCCTTCTAGGCCTTCAGAAGGCCTAATGGTTTCTGTCATTAGTGTCTTTTAGTTAATCTTCATTTAACAGAGTCATCATGCTTACTTATAAACTAGTATTACAGTTTTGGTTGGAAAGAAAAGGGTTAAATCCTTGAAACCCAATAGAAAATGATCCAATCAGGATATTTTTCTCTGTGTTATCTATGTAGATACAGCCAAAGTAGCTCTCCCATTCATTAGGACAGCAGCAGCTCTATACATACCAGGACTCTTCACTGAGTCATTGTAAAACTGCCACAAGTTTATATATATATATATATATATATATATATAGTATTTGTTCTAGTTTTTAGATTGGGTTTTAATATTTAATATATCTCTATTTCTCATTTTTTGAAATCATGAGAAAAAAATCAGATGTTTACATTGTGTTAAAATGTCACGATGAACAGACTAATTGCAATGGCCCAGTTACCATTTCTGAGATTTGGTTTGACAGCGATGATATGTCTCTTTCAGAGAAGGAATGAATTGGAATGGCACTGTGGAAGAGTGGATAAATGGAAGGAACACGAGAGAAAAGATAACTAGGCTGCAAAAAGGGAAAAAAGAAAAGGGAAGAAATAAACAAGGAACACAGACATTCACAGTCTCTCTCTCTCTCTCTCTCTGTCTCTCTCTCTCTCTCAGACACACACACACACACACAAACACACACACACTACAGAGAGGAGACATCTTTGTGTCTTCTCATACAACAGAGACATTGTAGGAAAAGAAGAAGAGGTGGAGTCTAGAGAGGAAGTGTTGAGATTCATACAGACACACAGAACAGGAAGCTAAGAGAGCGATGACAAAGTCCATGTTCAGAAAACCATCCGAGCTTGTGGACAGTGAGAGAATACAGTGCAGGAGGGACTGAGCCAACAAGCTAACAAGACAATGTGAGTGTGTGAGTGTGTGTGTGTGTGTGTGTGTGTGTGTATGCGCATGCTTGTTATACATTTTCAGGACAAAAATGTCAGAAAACCAGAGAAAAATATGGGACCGAGACAAAGCTCCTGACCTGAAGTTCTTTTGTTTTATTGTTTAAAACTAAAAGAGCAAAATCTTTTTTTTTGGTAACTGAGGTTAACATTATTAAGAGGTTTAGGATAAAATGTATTAATTCTTATTAAATATAGATACTCTATATAATATACACATTATGAAATACTATATAAATATACATAAATATCAAACATATATACAGAAATATATAAAATACATAGGGGACATAATATTATTACATATACGGTTGTATGCAAAAGTTAATGCACACTTACTTTACAACTGATTAACTTAAAAGACAAAAGACAAAGTATTTCTGTCATGTGCAAAAGTCTAGACACCCTGCTAAGTCAGTACTTAGTAACACCCCCATTTGGCAGAGATCACAGCTTGCAACCACTTTTTGTAACCAGCTTGGTTCATTCTTTCTGTTCTTGTTTTAGGCATTTTCACTCACACTGCCTTGCAGAACTATTTTCAGTGATGTTCTAGTCAGGGGACATTGAGGGCCATTCTACATTCTTAACTGACTGTGTCACATCTGCCTGCAGAATTTGCTGACATTTAGTAGAACAGAATCCATTCTCCCATCTACTTGTACCGTGTTTCCTGTGCAAATAGCTGCCGCACAACCACCAAGTGTAATAGAACTAATCCCATGTATAATAGTTGGCAAGGTGTTCTTTTCATCAAATGCTGCTTTTTTCTCCAATCATACCTTTGGTCACTGTGGCCAAAGAGTTCAGTTTTTACTCCATCAGTCTACAGCACTTGTTTTAAAAATGCCTCTGGCTTATCTAGAAGTTGCTTTGCATATGTTAGATGTTGACTTTTGTTATGAGCTTGCAGGTAAGATTGTCTTCTGATGACTCTTCCACGTAGATCATGTTTGGTGCATCACCACTCCTGTGTTAGCTAAACCTTCCTGTAAGTTCTCTGTTGTCATATGAGGGTTCTATCTGAGAGTTTTCTTGGGCTTCCAGATCTTGCCTTATTTTCCATATTTCTCTTTTGCTGCCACTTCCTAATGAAATGTTGGACAGTGGTGCCCAAACGTTTGCATACAATTTATTATATATTTACATTAATATAATACATATGGGACACATTATCATTACAGAAAGATGCATACGGTATATGTAATACATATGGAACATATGTTCTTATGTGTATGACCCAGAGAAATGTGGTGACATATGTATGGCACTGTTTACTAGCAATGTATAAAAGCAATGCTGAGTGTGTGTGTGTGTGTGTGTGTGTGTGTGTGTTATTAATGTAGGGCTGTGACACACTGCACTCACCCAATAGGTCATTCTGTGGCATCCACTCCACTAGTTTAGTGTTGTTGCCAAGGTTACTGGGGGGAACTCCAGAAAACCTGCAGGGAAAACAGATTGGACATCCATGGTGATGTGATCTTAGTGGCGTCTTTTGGAGTCCGATATGTTTTACAGAGTTCACACTTTTTCTATCAGACAACCTTGATGCTAGCTGACCATAATGCTCCGCACACGGTCTATATGGCTCAACACCACAAGTGAAGAATTCTGCATGAAGAAAGAAACATACAGAAAGAGAACAAGAGCGAGAAAGATACTAGCAAGGGCGGGCAATCGGTCAGCATGCATACATTTACATCACTACAAAGCTCTCATTGAGTACGGCTAAAGGCAAAGAAACAATTCACCCACTCCAAAAATTGGCCCCGACTAAAAACGGAAAGATTCATTCAGTGCAGCTGCTACAAACACACACACACCACACACACATGCCAAATGCAGAAGTCACACAACTCTTTATGGCAAACTTTAGCCTTCTTGGCTAAAGCAAATTACCAAAGGACAGGTATCTTATAATTTAAAATACATATTTTATTTAATCAGAAAATTACAAATGGTGTCAAAAGTTAACAGGTCAATAATGATAAATTATTAATGAGACATTTCTTTTTCAAAGGATTTTCTTAGTTTGATCCTTCAAACCATCTGTAATTCCAGCCTGTAGCTCAGCTGAGCTGTTGCTGTGACTCCATGACTGTACCTCTCTCGTTTTTAAATGGCAAGTTCCACTGATGGCTTCCTTGATAAAAGTTATTTCCAGCTACCGCTGTGCTGTGAGCTGAAACAAGTATCATTTACAAGCACACTGCTGAAGCCTGCAATATCACTAACATCAGTAACATTAGCACTTCAGCAGGCTACACTGGACAGTGTTCACAGGAGAAGTATGTATAAACCAACAACCCACAAATAAACAAATGCGGGAACTATCTAATTCCCTCTCAAAACAAGATGTAGTGTACTGTATGAGAGCAAGAGGACTACAACTGAAGAGAAGTTGAAACTTTCAGATACTCTCACTGGAAACAGTGTTCACTCTATGGAATTTACATGATTTTCATATCTATATAATTTTGTTGAATAACTGAAGGTAATAAATACACCCTGCTATAAAAAAATGTGCTGATTTTAAATGGAAAAAGTCTTTCATTGGGAGCAGCTCGGAGTGAATAAGATTAATGCGATTAATCATAAATGACCACACAAAAACAACGCAATTAATTAAATTAATACATTATTTTAATTGTTTAAAAGCCATGTAAATGACATAATTCTACAATTATATCTGTTCTATCAAAATGACATGTCAATCCACTGGTTTTTAACTGTTTGCACCTATGTATGTGTGTGTGTGTGTGTGTGTGTGTGTGTGTGTGTGTGTGTGTGTGTGTGTGTGCTCTCAGAGAAATTCTGAGAAGTCAGTCCTAGCATGAAATGAAGTATACACACGCGAGCGTACACACGTAACACACATTGTGTGGCTGGTGCATAACCTAATGACAAACACTCTACAGTTACCAAGAGACTGGTCTTTAGTTACTGGGCGGGGGAGCGTTCATCAGTGTCATTGTGTTAAAGGCATTACTTTATGTTAAAATTCTGATATTCTGGCTACTTCAGAGTGTGCAAACACTACCATTCAAACATTTGGAATCACTTGTCATAGTAAATCACTGTCGGAACAAAACCAGCTAAAAAAACGGTAACTTTATAGGACAGGGAAAAAACATTATTAACTTGTAATGGAAGTCAATGTAAATATATTTCTTTCCAAGTTATTTCGGACCGTTTCTACTGCCCCATTCATCATGAAATTGTAATACAATTCGAAGAGTAACTGGAGCTTTCAAATTATGCAGTAGAAAGTACAACAACAAAAATGGACATAAGGTTTTTGTGTGACAGCAACAATATACATTAATAACATATGTAAGTTATAAATAAGCATTATACACCTGGGGCCAAAATGTATTTTAGATGTTTTATTCAATATTTAAAGAGTTGTAGAGCAATGAGAAGTTATTAAATGATAAATAATATACTGTCATTATCTACTTACAATAAAGACTGAGATTTGATCACCACTTTTAAAATACTAGGCATTCTGGTTATTCATTTTATCATAAATTCATTCTCAATATTATACACCTTTCTTAGATATTTTAAAATCATCTGCAGCTCTGTTAATAATTCTGAAAACATTCTAATATTTCTATCATTACAGCTTCCTGCAAATTCTTTTGCAAATTCTTTTCTTCACCACTGTTAGAATCATTTTATTTATGTATCATCAACCAAACTGGTTTTATGTAATTGAAAACACTGATAAAACAATGAAAACTTTTAAATGGTGTCAAAGGCCACCCTGCATTTATTTGATTTCTAGTCAAAAAGGCCTTTTTAGAAAACAAAACTACATTAAACAAAAACTACACTGATGCCTCAGCATTTAAATATAATATCAAATTTTTCAGCATTCATCTCCACTCCGCTTTCAGTTTTCAAAGGAATCCACTGGGATATTTTTCCACACCTCCAAAGTTCAGTCTTAGAAGTTGGTTGCACTTGATGCATGCGTGGAGCCTGATTTTCCCTTCTCTCTCAATGATTAAAGATGTTTAGCTGACTGTGACAGTTTTGGTGGTCTACCAGGTCTTGCACAGTTGTTTGAGTGCCATTTTCTCCATACCTTTTAAAAATACTCTGAACTCCAGTTTTGGAAACTCTCCACAGGAATATCTTCTGAAAAATGAAAAGCTTTAGACAAGCTTAAGCTTGTTTTGACTGGAATTTCAATAAATGGATGGTCTCTTGACTTTTGCACAGTGCTGTATGTGTTTAGGAGTGGTAAAAATGTCTGTAGATTTATGTGTCTACCTGTGTGTGTGTATGTGTGCATGTAAATGCAGCTATTCTGGTGAGGACACTGGGGACTGGCGCCTGTGTATGTGCGTGTCCCTGAGGCCACCTAAGCACAGTGCCCTCATTAGGAAAGACATGACAAATATGCACAAACAACAACAACAACGCCACACCGAGGCCCGCGTGACGGCTCAAGCCATCACTGGTGGTGAGCTTTTTCACCGGGAGGTAAGGGACAGCGGGGACCCTCTCTGCCCCGTCACTACGCAACACAGCACGTAATCGTGGTCTCAAGGCGGACTCAGGTCAGGTTTACGTCCTGTGTGGCTAGTCTTTTGAAAAGATAAGACATCAGAGGATGTCTAATGACAGGGGAGAACCCCAACGCTCAGGGAACTGAAAGAGAACAGGGAAAGGCAAATACAAAACATTTCAATAACTGAGCATGTTTTCTTAGTGATTCTGCAATAACTTAAGGGAATAGTTCATTATGAGCTTATATGGGGTAATATAATAAAAGTCTCAAGTACTATTCAGATGGGAGTAGTTGTACAAGGTGAGGTTGTTCAGCTGCTCATAGACATGTCTCATCTTTTCAAAAGACTAGCCACACAGGACATAAACCTGACTTGTTTCTGCCTTGAGACCATGGTTACGTGCTGTGTTGCCTAGTGACGGAGCAGGGATGGTCCCCGCTGTCCCTTCTCTCCCAGTGTTACCATGAAGAGAAAAATGCACCAGCAAGACCTCAGGGCTCACCAGAGATGTAAATGACCGGTAAGCCTCAAGACAAGGTGGACTAAGACACAGTTTGATAAAAAAGTACAGAAGAAACCTGGCGAGTTCTGGGACAATGTCTCATAGACATCTGAGATGAAAATTAACATGTACAAGAGTTATGAAAAGGGAAAAAAACAAAAGCCATACCACCTCACTACCAAACCTGGATCATGTGTCTTTGTGTGACAGCAGTGGAATGAATTCTAAAAGATTTAGATCCATCTTAACTTCTCACATGCAACCAAACACCTCAAGATTAACTGGATGGTGTTTTAACTTGCAGCGGGTCAATGATCCAAAAAACACTGATAGGGCAACTGTAGTGTTGTGTAGTGTTTTCATAACTGAATAAGTCAATAATCCATACTTTGCCCCACTCCACTTGCTGAAGACAAGACTGTCAACATGTCAAAAAAACAGTGAAACATCCAGGAACTCAAAAGTGATTCTTTTCAAGAGTATCACCATGGTAGATATCCAGCACCTACAGGACACATACTTGACGAATAAATGTAAACATGACAAATACCAATAGGACTTTAATCTCATAGCTCCACTTCAAATCCAACATGCTCCGCTACAGAGCCAAAACAGTGCAAAAGTAACTGCTGTTGCTGTCCAACTACCTACTAGCATGAACCCTCCACCAGAACTCTTCCCTACTTAAAACAGCTTACTCTTCCCACATATGATTCATTTCTCAAGTTAAAGACAGCACTACATTGTCTAGTGCAAACCTTAATTACACCTGTAAAGCAACAAAACAATATCATAAATGTAACAGAATAGTGTCCAAATGTAAATATGAACTCCATCAGCATAGTGAGCTTCTGTGCAAAGTCCAGTACTAAAACTGCCACTGTATTATAATGCTACTGTAATATTGAAAAACCATATCACCATAATAGTACAGTTAAATGAGGTCAAAATTTAATGTTCAGCTTAATTATGGCCTATGCATTCACTATGATGTGTAGGGCAGTCAGTGAAATAAAATGAATTGAAAAGATGGTGGAAATCACTTCATATGAAGATGGCTTTAAAGTTTGACAAAGCACTCACATGGCTGATCACTTATTCTTAACAACTAGACAAAAAGATTGCTGGCTAAAAATAGCTAACAGACTAAACAGCTTCTCCATTAATATTCAGAGTTAAGCTTTGAATTGAAGTATTTACTGAATGATTCACTGTAAAACTGCAACAGTAATAATAAAGAATATGTTACTTAAATGTCTTACATGCTCACAGTAGATCTGACATTAGTAGTGTCCAGTGTGGGAAAAAAAATGTATTTTGCTTTAAAGTTATAATCTGATATATTCATTATTATATGGCAAAAAATAAATAGTTCATGAATTGACTGCAATATACAATGATGGTTGAATGAAAGTCCTTGTCCACTTCCAGCAGTCTACGGTTGCTTGGAAGAAATATCATACTTTAAACAAACCACATTTTTGGTGGAAGCACTGTTTATTTTAATTAAATTATTTACTGAAAATGTGTGCATTGTATTATATTTTATGTTGTCGCCATTTCATAAAAGCAATAAGCCACTCTACCTCCCCTAAGGACATCCTTTACCCATGATAAAATCACTGTAATGTACAGCTTCTTTACATTTACAGTTAGGCTGCACCACCCTGCATGTTCATAGCCTAGCTGGGGAGAGCCAAAGCACTGCAGAGTTTAATATATGTAATGTATCATTATTTTTTTTGCTGACAACAACAATAAAAATAGTAATGAAACAACAGCAGTAGGCGTACCTCCAGATGACTCTCTGAGGTAGTCGGCTCAAGGCTCCAGCCAGCTTGTGTGCAATATCTTCGGAGAGATACTTCACTCCTGCACCGAATGACACCACCACAAACCCATGCTCATCTGTGTCCTTCACCCAGGCCTCAAATTCCTACACACAAAGTCAATAATCAGTAAAATGTATTCAGCCTTCACAGTACTAAAAGCACAAACAGAATATTTTTTTTCTAATGGTATTTAGGAAACAGTAGAAAACAGCACTTCTAAAATGTATAAGTCTGGTTTTAAAATCTCATTGGCTAAGTCATGTTCACAGGCATACATACAAACATGTATATACAGCACTGTGCAAATGTATTATTTCTGAGGATATTAGATATAAAACGATTCACATGCATAAGGAAAGGGAAAAGCAAAGCAAAACTTAAAAAAAGGATTATAATCTATAGAGAAAACAACAGTGCAAGACCTGGCAGACCACCTTAACTGCCCCCATCAGATAAACAGTACTTAAAGCTTTTATCTTTGAGAGAGAGGAGAAAATGAAGCTCCACTCTTAATTCAGATCTGAAAAAATCTACAGGTGTTTCTGTCCATCCTTCCACTGTAAGAAAACAACTCAACACTATGAGTCTGAAAGGATGTGTAGCTGGCAAGAAGCCCTTACTGAGAAAAGGAAATAGACAAAAACAAAGAACATCTGCAAACCAAAAAAAAGCTGCTGGTTTTCTCAGAACGATGGACTGACCGCCCCAGAGCCCAGACCTCAACATTACTGTGTTTGATTACTTGGATTGTTAGAAGCAGAGAATGCAACCAACTTCTAAGACTGAACTTTGGAGGTGTGGAAAAATATCCCTGCAGATTCCTTTGAAAATTCAGGAGACTCAATTTCAATTCAATTCAAAGAATGGAAGCTGTAATAAAGGCAAGGACTGGACACATTAAATGCTAAAAATGTGATATTATACTTAAGTTATTGATGCTTCCACATTTGCTTGTTTATGAGGCTGAAAATTAAAGACAATCGTACTTAATGGCCATTTTAAGTCGAATAAACAAATGGTGGTCTCTGACTTTTACACGTGTTCACACATGACGACACAAATCAACTAAATTCTGTGTTAATGTGACCATTTAAACCATCATAAGAAGAAAACTACAAACATGGCTGAGCAGTAACATCAATGGAAATGTCCAAATTAACACACTCAGCCATCCTGATCTTTAAAGTGGAATTCTACTTATTTTAAAACTTTTTAAAGCCGATAATACATTTCTGTATAATTAAATGGTTGAGATGTACTCAAAGTCATAATGAACTACACTGTTGGGCAAAATGATTGTTTATGTGATCGTACCATTTTGTCATGGTTTTATAAGATCAATAAATCATGAATGGACATGTGTTACAGTGATTTTACGCCAATTAAGGGGTCTTAAATACTGTGGTAATCATACTAAAATCATTGTAACACAGTTTCTCATGGCTAATTGCTAAATTTACTCATTTATTGGACAAAATCACATTTCAGCATTTTTTTTTTAAAGAAAAAAGCAGTGAAAATGACTGGTTTGATATGTATTATTACTGCAAATTCAACATTAATACAATATGAGACAAATATTATTGTCCAAAGAATTAAAAATTTTAAGGCAGCTATGTTATAAGTTTTAAGTTTTTAAGCTAAAACTATCATTTTTTTTTTTTTACGGTGAGTTCACTAATGCACTTCTGCAATGCTCAGTGGTAGCTGGACGTAAAAAGCCCTGCACTGTACACGCTGCTCTTTGAGTCTGCTTCCACTTCAGGCTGTGACCTCTCTCCTCGCTCTTGCGACCTCGTTTACCCTCTATGTCATGCCAGTGCTTGAGCTCCTCCTCACGTCCCACACAAAGACAAAGGAACAATGGAGAGTGGAACTGGCTTTTTGATCCAGAACAGTTGAGACTCAGGGAAGCTCTGGAGTTTCAGATCTCATATGCCAGTATGACCATTAACTAACTGCAATATACAGAACTGTTTCCTGTAAAGTATGGCCATCATAAACACATCCCCATCACCCTTCTAAATTTGATTCTAGCATCATGACATGGCAATGCTGTTATTTAGTTCCCCATGTCCCCATGACCAAATTTTTTAACAGTGTGTGGAAACAGCAGCTTTTGTTCCACATACTTCAGAAACAAATGGATCAACTAGGTACAGCCGTAGGTGCAGAAGTTTGTTCTGTTGATTTTTTTAAGTATAAACTTAGCACATCCAGGCCAAAAATGGCAGTTTTCTGCACATTTTAAAGCAGTTACTTTTTATTTGCTGAGCATTTATACAAAATGTCCCCTAACTTTTGCTCAGGCCATATTATTATTATTTTTTTTTTCTAATATGTGATCGAACAAACTTTAATTGTGCATTAAAATGTGCAGAAGTGTGTTCTCTGTGGAGGATGCATATATTTTTTTTCTCCCAGTCAATCGATAAAACATGTACACTGACTAAGGGCACCCAAACATTTGCACACGACTGTATGCTAGCTCATTTCAAGGCTACAGTCTGCTTGGCTTTTCTCAGTAGGTCTACTGCGGGTACTAACAATGTTTTATGCTGGCCCCAGCTGACCCTTATCCCCTAGATCGCTCAGTGATAGCATTACTTTTTTACAAAGCTAGAACTGCCGAGTCATAATTTTGATACTTATCTGTTCTTTAGGACATTATTATGCTGGATAAATGCGTGGGATTCTTTGCCTGGCATTGTTAAAAATGACTGAGGGTTTGTGTTAGCATAACAGCATTCATAAATGACTGACTGAGGCCCACTAGCATTAGCAATGCAACACCAAATAAGTTAGCATTGTCTAAGTGTGACTGAGGTCTTGTCTAATGCTTTAGTGTTTATACGCTGCTGTTTTGCGCTAGAAAGTTAGCCTTTCTAGCACATTAGCATGGGTTTTGAGCACGTTAGTGCTAGCGTGTTAGCTTGCCCTGAGAATCAGTAGGGGTTTTGTGTTAGCGCTACTTCCTAGCTGTATGAGGGAGTCCAGCTGCATCAGAATGGTCTGCACTGGCCTGGCACGGACAATCCACCCCTCACACTGGTCTCACTGTCCTCCACATACATTCTACAATGGGCACATTTACTCACACACCCCGTGTCTACACACACACACCCATCACATAATGGCCTCCATGGCACACAATGAGCTCCTTTGGGCGATTGGTATTCCAAAACTGCAGGCCTAGGCTAAGAACCCCCACTCCCATTCTACGCACTGCTCCATGCAATCACTCACATTGATAAGGACAGTCTTTGTAATCCCATAGAGCCCATCTGAGTAAGAACTGAAGGATTTAGTATGGAATACGACAGACTGACTGACTATGAGTCGGATCACGTTTGAAATAATTATGGAAGTGATGTTATTATTAAATGTTGCTAAAGTATTATGTTCAAGCTTTGAATTACTGTCCGTTAACACATAAGCACTACATACTGTAATGTGAAATTCTAGCTAAATCTGTGTGCAGTTTAATGTAAGTTTAATAGTCATTTGTTAACTGGATGTGGGTTGACTATTTGACATTTTGGAGGTGGGCCTATATCAGATGAGGTCTGACATATTTCGTATGCCTCTCCAATCAGGGAACCGCTTCTGCGTCAGTTGACCCCCATACTGACGCACAACATTACTCACTGACGTCTATGAACAGCATCAAAATGTTGAGAGTGGAGTCTCACCACACAGCCACACAGAAAAAGCAAATGATATGTGAAGAAAAACAGTGGTTTGGCTTGTGAAAGAAGATTTACTGACCCTGACCAAAGTCAACATATTTGTTTTTGGTTTGTGTTGTGCTATATAATGTTTATATTCATTCATTCATTCATTATTAAATGCTTCAAATTTATAGATTCAATAAGAAATACTGACATCAGTTCTTTTTATATTTCCTCATACATAATATCAATTCCAGTGGCACTGATACTTCAGGTTTATTAGCCCATACTTAAATATAATTCATGAATCGTTAATAGATTGACAGACTGAGCTAACACAGTCAATAAGCTGTTGTTAATAATGATGTTAAGAACTTACCTAGAAAGTTTAGCACTATACTACAACCTTTACGTCAAATCTTTTAAAAAAATCTGCCATATGTATCACCTCAGAACAGCAGGGAAAACATTCTTGCTGTAATACTAACATGTTGTCCTTCAGCAGCCTCTATGACCTTAACTGTGTTAGCAACATGCTAGGACTTTGTGTTAGCACTCTATGCCAGGACTTTGATTGTGTTAACACCCTATGCTAGAACCTTAATTGTGTCACCCTAGGCTAAGTACCTCTGTCAACCCACTCAAACCTCATTCAGGTCTTCAGGTTGCTCAGACTTAGGTCAGACTCAGGTTTATGGAATAGCATGATGTACTGTGAGCTAGAAAAATGAACAACATTTCAATGTGTAGCTGAATTCTGAGGTCAGCCTTTTTACATAATAGTTGTTGTGCCAAATTCCAACTTCCCCACAGACACCACTTTCATGTAGCATGCATACATGCTATGCAGGCATAGATGCTTGATTATTCTTGTGATTTTTGTTGTCTCTATTTATAAATATACATATATCTTCAGTTAAAAAATGTATAGTTAAACACTAATAATTGACTAATTAATGTCCATACGTGCATGCACATGAGTGGGACAACATTTTGCTACATGGTGAAGTTTTGTTTATTTTTATAGTTCACAGTAAGTCATAATGTGCACTAAAGTGCATCAACAAGTCTGTGTGACCTTAATGGAGTTTTGGAGGCAGTTGAGAGTTGTCTAAAGCATGTGTTTATGGAAAAGATTTGGGAGACTATTGACTTCTAGTGTTTGTTAGCAACGTTAGCCTTGTTTTCACAGTTTAAAACTAAAGGACACCAAACATCTCTTGGGTTAGCGACTATGTCTGGGGTATCGTGTGTAAATTTGACTTTTTTTTCCTTTAATTTTGTTAGCATCCTATGTCAGGATTACCTGTGGCAGAGGGCTCGGGGGTTTGGTGAGGATACCCCCTACGTAGACGACATGTGGCAGTGTGGGCCGGGGGAATTCGAGTGCCATGTCCGTGCAGAGCATCCAGAGGCGGCTGCCCTGCACCAGCTCATGCATGGACACGTACGGCCGCACATCATACTTCCTCATGATGCGGTCGTATTTGGGCAGAACGAGGAACTGCACACCAAAGCGAGACACCAGGTAGACGGCCGTGTTGGCCAACCGCTGCACCAGCGACATGCGGTCCGTGAGCAGAGAGTTGAACTCTGGCACGTAGGAGAGTGGAGCCGGTGCGCCCACCTCGGCTGGGTACCAGAGGCCAGTGCTGAAGACGGCGTACTGCACTCCCAGGATGTGGGCGATGACGAAGCCACACATTTCGTTAGGGTCGACGAGCAGCAAGTCGAAGTGCTCACGCTTCAGCTGTGCCATGACTTCAGCGCTACCCACAACACTGTCACAGTTCTGCGAGTAGTGATCCAGGATGTCAAAGAGCTCCAGTGGCGTCAGCCGCCCAGAGAAGATGTTGTGCACCTTGGACTGGAGGAAGTCGTCAGCTGACGAGCTGTTGAAGATGCCTGGATACCGCTGTAGCCTGTAGTGGGAGGACGGAGGCACCTCGCGACCTTCTGACACCAGGAACACCGTGTCGTGGCCCTCAGCATGCAGGGCAGATGCAAGGGTCTTGAAGATGTACAGATGGCTTTCGAACATGATGGGAGGGACCACTATGATCTTAGCAGACCTCAGTGGACTTGGTGCAAACAGCCACAGCAGCGTGGCCAGTAGGGTAGGGGCAGACTTCATGGCTGGGAGGTGGAATAAAAAATATAGAGAAATGGCTTAAAATAAAATAATTGCAAAGCAGTTACACAAACACTCAATATACACACAGTCATCACAAATAAACAGTAATGTTTAAAATGTGTATTAAAATGTGCAAAAAGTGTGTTTTCTGTAGAGGATGTGTAAATTATTGTCACAAAACCAACAAAACGTCATTTGACCAGGAGTGTCTTAACTTTTGCATATGAGAGCTTACATCAGTTGAATTCTGTTTTAATATGGCAATGTTTAAAATAATGCTGTTCATGGAACAAACTTTGATCCTGTTGCTTGGCAACCACCGGATTTTGATTAAACTGCATAAATAATAATGTATTAAGCTGTATTTTTCATAAAACAGACATGTTTTATACTTTAAATTTTCAAAAGACTGCAGAGGGTACTACAGTTGGACAAATTATAACAGTGATTTGTATGACACAGGGTTATGATATGCATGGCTTCCATGTATGACAACATCTGAACTCATGCACCATGCAAAGGCAAAGCTCAAAGATGAAAACTGTTCATTGTGAGAATTCACATTTCAACTGACTATTCATCCCCAATGTAGTACACAGATTTACTAAACCTACAACCTTCAAAGTAAAATTTGCATTACATGGTGACATCAATCAATTCCATATCTGAATCTAAAATAGCCATACTATCAGTGAGTTCTATTACAAGCTGACCAATGTTCAGCACCAGCTTGACTGAAGATAAAAATGTTTGTAGCCCAAAGAGGCTGTAATGGTTCTCTATTTTTATATTTGACCTACAATTTTTTTTTATTATTATAATATTTTGATTCAATAAGGGAGGGTGGGGCACGACGTAATATAACTTGGTATAGCTTAGCTTAATACTTTTTAAAGTATTTGAGCAGGATTTTTATATACAAGCAACATACACAGCTCTGCTACAAATGAAAAAGTTACCAGCACCCACTGTTTATGAACAATTCAAAAGTGGCAGGACTTACAACTAACCCAACAGGTGGGGTAGACAGACGGGCAAGTTGTGACAGTCATTTAAAAAAATGGCAAAATGGGGCAAAACACAATTAATTTGTTGTTTGAACATGACACGCTTTCCAACCTAAATACATATGTCAAAATAAATATGAAGATAAAAAGAGGCTGTGTTGTTATTACGCTGATATTTGCTCTTCCACTTTGCAGAATGTCAAACTTTCAGCATAGATCATAAAAACATGGGCATTTGCTGCTAGAAACTCAGAGGTAAAAAACAATTATGAACAATTTATATATATTCATATATTAGCACCTTTTTAGTAAATCTGCACCTTAAACATTGCTGTCCACTACTAGCAGATACAAAGAGTCACTTATTAATTATCAGCATCAGTCTAGAATTCCCCTGCTGGTACATTTGTAGTTATAACAAATGCATAACCTTCACGTCTTCAGGGACTGACAACTTGACAACTGAAATTGAACACATGAGTGAAAACAGACAATAGCTGAAGAGACACAAGTTCGACTATGACTCAGAGACAGATTCCTCTGATAAAGTGTGTGCATAAAGTTCAATACGTGTTTCAGGAACACACACACATGCACATTTATGCTACCTTCTCTAACCTTTGGCACACACAAGTACTTTTCTTAGAACTAGTAGTGGACGAACAGCCAAAAATCTATATCACAGTAGATTTACAATCTCTGACAGTTATGGTGTATATCATGGTATATATTTATTTTTCAAATAAAACTATCTTAGTTCTAACAACCAGATTAAATCTGAAATATTTTTATTGTGCAAAACAGTAGAAAGAAAACTGAAAAAATACATTGACAAACATATGTCAGTATCGCTTCCTAACAGTAATCCCGGGTGCTCTTTAGACAGTGACTAATACATTTCACATCTGAGTTTCTACAAGAATGATGTTGGCTTCTCATTTTCCAGCTTTTTGTTCAATTGTCTGTTCTACCTTAAATGGGGCAGCGGTTACGTACTGGCACTCGTACAGGCCTAAATGTAACTGCTGCATACTTTTAGGTGGACAGAAACCTTAATAAAAAACTTCATCTTCACTGAATTTCTCACATCATGTGCCTCCTACGCACATCTCATACTTTCTGCTGTCATTCAGTCATGCATGCTATCAGGACCAAGTAATCCACAGCTTGTTGCATGGACAAGGCCTGGACAAAAGGAAAGCATGGTAATCTGTCTGGTGTCCATGTTAGGCTATGGCTAACCCAAAAGGGCCGGCCGGCCATTCCTTTATGTCCGTTGCCTCGAAAACAAAGTTCCCTCATATTATATATTACATGAAATGGTTGCTATTGCAATGCCTGAGGCCAAAGACACTGTTTTATAATAGTTCTGCAATAAGGTTTTGGCTTAAAACATATTTTTTAAATACATTTACGGTGTTGTATGGCAAAGTAGTACCCCCAGAAAACATTTTCTTCCAGATTTAGGCCTACTTTTATTTTACCATTATAAACATTACATATAAATCTCATACATACAAAAAAAAAGACACTTGCAGGTTTGCTTGCTGTTCTGGGTAGTAAATTAACTGACTATATTTGTGTTGTAGACCGCCATTGCTAAGATATCTGAGTCTGTATGTAACTCTATTCATCATCAATCCACTATGAATTACTTTGTTTACGTCACACTGACTGACTAAAGTAGAATGTTTGAAAAATTGGTGAAACTCCAATTTAAAGAAAAAGATACCTTACACATCTTTTAAATCACATGAAAAGAAGCAAATATACACATATATAGTCAAACTGACTGCATTAATGTAATCTTTACATGTTTTTAGTAAGCTTTCATACAGTTTTCAGAAAAGTTTGATTTGATACATCAAATTACTTCACCATAAATAAGTAAGAAATACAATTTTTCATGTAAGAATGCATATTAATCATTAGAATGGCTAAAACTAATACCAGTACATTTAAGTTTATTTATCTGCACAAATGACAGTGCTTTTTATAAAAACAGCTTTTCAGATGCAGATTTCTATTTCTGTGAACAGTATAACAAAAATTTGCGAAATAATGTGAGCATATTACATTCCATTAGAGGCTGAGGTTTCACTTTGTGTTGATTATGTATATTAGTCATGCTTAAAGCCAGGAGCTTAATCTAAAGTGTGTGTAAGTATAAACAGGATTGCTCTAACTTTTCATAAACTTCCTTTAGTGCTTCCTTCTGAGGGAGAAACCTTGTCTTAGCATTATGACGAGTTGTTATCACTTCTGAACAGTCTCGTACCGAGCAACATTCTAAATAAAGTCCCTGAGCTCCTGCACTGTCAGCTCCACCGCACTCTTTAGTCTCATACCTTAATTAGAGAGCACACACGGCTGTTGCCTCTGGGTGTCTAGGGAACGACAAACAAGTGTTCATGCGTGCGTGCTGTACGTAGAAGTAGTTAATGGCAAGACACTGAAAAACAGAAGGAAGGGAGACATTTCTCCTCACCCAAACCGACAGTAGTTTGCAGCATTACCGTTTACCGTTTTGCATCTTATTCACAATTCATTTGCAATTCATGGTATTACGGTTAAACATTTTGCAATCTGCTTCGGCCTAAAGCGGCCACTGTGGCATGATACCAATTAAAGATAATCCCATTCCCACTCATAACAGTCACTGGATTCCTTCTTTATCCCTTTTTGCGATAATAAACCCCTCTAGATTTCAACACTCAACAATCGCAGTGATAGAAGCTCAACAATCAAAAGACAACAGCATTGCAAATGAGTCAATGCTTCTCAAAGCTGAATCTTGAAAAACTAACACGGCAGCAGCATCTTAAATATGACTGTAATCTATTTCCGAGAACCCTGAAAACAGACAGCATTATAAATATATCTGTATTCCTTTTAGACAACTCACTTTTTCCTAATTTCTAAAAAGTCCTGCCTCTCTTGGTTAGTGTTGCCATGTCCGTCAGACTTTTATTTTACCTGATTGCATTCATAAAGCTTGTGCTAACAGGCTAAAAAGTTGACAAAATCTTAAAGCACACAGATGTTTAAATATTCATAAATAAACTTTTCACTTGGGTTCATGTTTGAGAACGGACATTATAAATGCAGACCAATAAAAATGAAAAAACTCATTCTGGAATTCATGTTAACAGTAATCAAACCAGAAAAAATAGCCTCTGGATTTTAAAGCAGCCGGTTTTTTATGTGTAATATGCTCAAAGAAGGTCTGAGCTAAGAAGTCTGCCCCTTCAGATGAGCTAACGCTAAAGCTAACACTAGAGCTATTTGTTGTGATGCTAGTTGCTGAGGAGGACTCATCGTTTTTTACATGAGGTCCATCATAAAGCAACAACAATAATGATGAAATGTGTATAAGTACATTAATACATATCTTTACACAAAATGTTTTTAATCTCAATTGCGAGTACTGTACAGTCCTGATTAATCTGATATAACTGATAGCAGAGTAAACCAGATTAAGTTTAGTTTTTTATAACACACAGTTTAATCCAAAACACTGTTTAGCTCAGGTAATTAAATAAAAATGGCGCCAACCTCCAGATGATCAGGACAGTGTGTATTTTAATTATATATTTACTGCCACCACCGTTCTCACTGCAGTTTTGTTTGAGGAGCTCTGTTGGACATTTCCCTTTACTTATTGGAGGAAGCGGTGTTTAGAGACAGTTGTGATTGGCTGAGAGATTTGTTAATTGTTGTAAAATCATTTCAGAGAATCTTGAAAATGATTCTGATAACAGCATTTTAAATACATGTATATTCTACTTAAAGAATTGATTTCAGAGAATGTTAAAGACAAATACGGCAACAGCATTTTAAATGCGACCATATTGGCACTGTCAGAACAAAACATTGTTTCTCCAAAACAATAACTGCAGAACCTGGAGAAATTTTCAATGTTAATCACCATAAGATTTTAAAATACATAACTTTGGGCCATATCTATTGGTTAGTTTATCACGAGATTTTGACAC